AAACACTAAAGTTTGGAAACCACTGTCTTAGAGATGCATATTAACATCTTACTACAATAAGTCTGGAAATAATTTATTTGTTTAAGCAAACATTTCCTCAATTTGAGCATGGGCCATCTGTGTGTGTGTGCGCGCGTGTATAAGATACTCATTAATATCCTTAGGGAAACTTGTCAAAAACCTGAAGCCTTACATTACTAGTAATTCTCTATTTAGCTTTGTGATCTTTTGTATTTAAATATCCTATCCTTGCATCATTTTACTAAAATATTCTCCCAACCCTTGTCTGGCCAACTCCTTAGAAGAGGTATTTCAAAATATGCATATGGAACAAATCCATGGGATGGCACAGAAATACTTAATCGCAACCTTAGAAGTGTTGCTCCCTCCTACTACCCTGGAGATACCATCTGTTATTTCAAAATTTTTTCATGTAATGGTTATCTCTGTATACTGATCTTTTCTTAATGGAGTATCTTCATATTTTCTTCTTTGATATTGTAAAGTATAATGTACATCTTATTAGCTTGTCTGTACAAGCTTCTTGTATTGGAATATCCTTTAAAAACATAACAACTAGAAGCTTTTCTCAGTTGATCCTACATTCTGGTAACTTTCTACTTTTAAAAAATTATCTCCCCATTATGCTCTCTCAGTCTTTCTTTCACATATCTTTCCTCAATTTTCTGTTAACAAGATAATTTTTAGTCACTATAAAACTAATGACAATGTTAAAATTGACATACTAAGTCATAGTTTTATAAACCTATTGTATTTTATTTGTTTAGTTTAAATTATATATTATACCCATATACAATATAAATATGTATTTTAAATATTTTTGTTATGATAAATAGTAATTAATAGAGGCTTTAGTAAGTAATTAATGTACTTATTACTAGCTTTCAGAATTTCCACTGCCATTGCATTAATTTTTCTAACCATAATTTCAAATGCTTTAGTAAAATTCTCAAATAGTAATAAAGTGTTTCATGGTGGCTTAGTGGAAGAATCCACTGGCCAATGTAAGAGATGTGGGTTTGATCCCTGGGTTGGGAAGATTCCCTGGATGAGGAAATGGCAGACGACTCCAGTATTCTTGCCTGGGAAATCACATGGGCAGTGGAGCCGGGCAGAACATAGTCCATGAGGTCACAAAAGAATCGGACATGACTTAGCAACTAAACAACAACTTAGAACAACTGAATTACTAAGCAATCAAGTGAGTATTCTCATGTATTGGGCTGGTCAAAAGGTTCATTTGGGTTTTTCCACAAGACATAAGAATGTTTTGGCCAACCAAACACATGGTTGTACTCCATCCTTTTAAACATGCAGTCTATTAAAATGCACTAGTAAAATGTATAAAGCATGGTTTGTGATACCAATTTGTGATACATAAAAACTAATGACAGCATCATTTGGTTTATTCTGATGCATCATTTAGAATTTCATGCAAAATAGTGTTACCAGCTATAATCCTTTAGTGGTATTAAAAAAGGAATGGAAGTATACTTTGTGACAGTTAAGGGACTTTGGAATTAATGTGTATTCAACTACTTTGGTCTTTCTCCTTTCGCAGTTCACTCTTTGCAAAATGATGATAAGGGCTCTGGTGTTAGACATGTCTCATAGTCATTTACTTTTATTTAATCATGTTACTTGAAACAAGTTAGGCATATAGTTTGGCTGTATACACATCAAGATGATTAATGATATTATTCTCATATAGTTCACCATGGCCATCAGAACTAATTTTACTTACAATCTTTAAACTCACCAGGTTCTCTGGATTTCTGACTACATCATAGCGAGGGAAGTCTATTGAGTTTAATGTAATGAATAAATAAGTACATTACTGTGACCATAATAAACTCCTGTTCATAAAAGAAAGACAAGCTTCCATAGATGATGTAACTTGATAATTGGAGAAGTTAGACATTTGTTTGCCTGTATTGCTGCCCTTTTCTTCTTAAACATTTTCTGATGTGCCTTGGTGTACCTGAGGAATTAAAAGAGGAAGGCTGCAGAGTTTCAAGTGGTTCTCAGGGGGCAGAATCATAAGGTTTATTAAGATTCTTTGAAGACTACTTTTGGTTCATTCTGGCAATTCGAAGTAATATGTGCTAGCCACTAGTCTTTTGACTAATATCTGTCTTCAGCCTTTAATATGTTACATTTTGAGCTTAAAGCTAAATTAACAGCCCTTGGAAGTACCCTCAGAAAATTTAAGTCCCTGAAGGTACATTATAGTCTTTGTATGAGGTCTGTAACAATATAGGGTTATATTTAACTTCAGTGAGAACAGTAATAGTGTGATGACTCATCTAAATCTGGTTACATATGTTGGGCATCATTAGAAGATAGGCATATAGCCATTCAGCAGAGGGTGGCTGATCTTTGGAAATGACACAGTAGTTGAGTAAAACAAATGATTTTTGTTGTTTAGTTGCTAAGACATGTCCGACTCATCGGACATGACTTAGCAACTAAACAACAACTTAGAACAACTGAATTACTAAGCAATCAAGTGAGTATTCTCATGTATTGGGCTGGTCAAAAGGTTCATTTGGGTTTTTCCACAAGACATAAGAATGTTTTGGCCAACCAAACACATGGTTGTACTCCATCCTTTTAAACATGCAGTCTATTAAAATGCACTAGTAAAATGTATAAAGCATGGTTTGTGATACCAATTTGTGATACATAAAAACTAATGACAGCATCATTTGGTTTATTCTGATGCATCATTTAGAATTTCATGCAAAATAGTGTTACCAGCTATAATCCTTTAGTGGTATTAAAAAAGGAATGGAAGTATACTTTGTGACAGTTAAGGGACTTTGGAATTAATGTGTATTCAACTACTTTGGTCTTTCTCCTTTCGCAGTTGGAATTAATGTGTATTCAACTACTTTGGTCTTTCTCCTTTCGCAGTTCACTCTTTGCAAAATGATGATAAGGGCTCTGGTGTTAGACATGTCTCATAGTCATTTACTTTTATTTAATCATGTTACTTGAAACAAGTTAGGCATATAGTTTGGCTGTATACACATCAAGATGATTAATGATATTATTCTCATATAGTTCACCATGGCCATCAGAACTAATTTTACTTACAATCTTTAAACTCACCAGGTTCTCTGGATTTCTGACTACATCATAGCGAGGGAAGTCTATTGAGTTTAATGTAATGAATAAATAAGTACATTACTGTGACCATAATAAACTCCTGTTCATAAAAGAAAGACAAGCTTCCATAGATGATGTAACTTAATAATTGGAGAAGTTAGACATTTGTTTGCCTGTATTGCTGCCCTTTTCTTCTTAAACATTTTCTGATGTGCCTTGGTGTACCTGAGGAATTAAAAGAGGAAGGCTGCAGAGTTTCAAGTGGTTCTCAGGGGGCAGAATCATAAGGTTTATTAAGATTCTTTGAAGACTACTTTTGGTTCATTCTGGCAATTCGAAGTAATATGTGCTAGCCACTAGTCTTTTGACTAATATCTGTCTTCAGCCTTTAATATGTTACATTTTGAGCTTAAAGCTAAATTAACAGCCCTTGGAAGTACCCTCAGAAAATTTAAGTCCCTGAAGGTACATTATAGTCTTTGTATGAGGTCTGTAACAATATAGGGTTATATTTAACTTCAGTGAGAACAGTAATAGTGTGATGACTCATCTAAATCTGGTTACATATGTTGGGCATCATTAGAAGATAGGCATATAGCCATTCAGCAGAGGGTGGCTGATCTTTGGAAATGACACAGTAGTTGAGTAAAACAAATGATTTTTGTTGTTTAGTTGCTAAGACATGTCCGACTCATTTGTGACCCCTGGGACTGTAGCCTGCCAGGCTGCTCTGTCATGGGATTTTCCAGGCAAGAATCCTGGAATGGGTTGCCATTTCCTTCTCCAGGGGATCTTCCTGACCCAGGGATTAAATCCACATCTCCTACATTACAAGTGAATACTGTACCACTGAGCCACCAGGGAAGCCAAATGATTGGACCAAATAAAATCTAATCCACCCTTTGTATGAGAGACCATGAGTTTCCTGAGCTACCAGTTGGAGTTTTCAAATGTCCTGGACCTACAAGCCTATAAATACTTCAGCAAAAATAGTCAAGGAAGCCATATGCTTCCCACTTACATACTTGAATGAAAATTGTCTGTCTCTATCTTCATCTTTTTTCCTAATTTTAAAAAGTAAATGTAAAAGAAGTGCCATAAGAAGAATACCCAATAGAATAAAACAACCAGAATAATTTACCTGTATGTTCTAAAGAATTGCATGTGTTGAGTATGAGGTTTATATGTAAAACATTCAAGAGTGTTATACTGTTTTGATCTCACTGTAAATTTAGGTCATTCAGACAACACTCCTTCCAGAGGTGACAGTGGAGAATCCATTCAGTATGATAAATTAAGGATTCCAATATGATTTAAATATACCTGTATGGACATAAAAAAAAAAGACTTACAAAGTTAGAGTTAACTTAAATGTATTTGTGAGTGGAATGAGAGAGTTCTGGTCCATTCATGTAACTTTATATCTGTAGAATTTAACAGTACTGAGTTTGTAACCGGACAGCCTTTCTTGAGTTCTGCCCACATAAACTAGTGTGACTTTTGAAAAAATACTTAGGCAGGATAAGTTTTATACACACAGCATTGTACACACAGAATTCAACCTTTTGCCTTGGAAAAAGTCACATTAAAGGGATAAACTCTGTAACAATAATTCCTAAGATCATAAACTGCAATAGAGGAAGATAAACCTCCATTCCAGAACCAAAGCATTTAGAAATTCAAGCCTGGCCACTGTGACTTTACCCTGTGGGATGCCATTCAATGAAGAGAGAAAACCTAAATGTACTAACTTTGGCTCGCATGATCTGACAGTTGTTCATAACTCTGTTCGTCTGATCTTCCTGATTTCTAACTAAAGTCATGCCCTTTAACCTTTTGTTTTGCATGTTGCCTGACTTTCTGAGCAGAGTAAGAAACAGGACGTTCCTCGGGAAGATCAGGGACCAACCACCAAGAATTTGGATTTTTGGCCCCAGCTTATAACACTGATGGTCACTATCATTGATGAGGATAAAACTGCCTACACTCCTGTCCTGAATCAGTAAGTACATTTTTTTTGTTAATAAATGGATTTTATGCAGCTAAAGTTAAAAAAACATAAACTATTTGAAGTACAGCTTATACTCTCATGACAACGACAGACTTGTCCAAAATTAAGCTATAGAAAGAAGTATTTTCTACTTTTATCAATAAACATCAATTCAGTGATAGTATGAATTTTTAGTTTCAGCGCCATAGAGTGTGATTATTTCAATATGGAAACAAATATTTCCCCCAAATTTATTTTCATTTAATATAGAAAAATTTCCTCTTTCTACTGTCTTAGAAAAATGCTACCTCCCCCCCCAAACTTAAAAGAATGTTAAAGAGCTCATATTAAACATGTTCCATTGTGACTTTTTAATAATAAGGATTTGGCCCCAAATGTATACTTTCAAAATAGTTGTGTATGCTGGATTTTAAAAATTTAATGCAGTATTTAAGAGAACAAGCCCATTTTCTCAAATAACTTAAGCCTATGCTGTCATGCATAGAATTTATAAATTCTATGCAGATGAATTAAGGCAGGTAGGGTGATTGCAGCCATGAAATTAAGATGCTTACTCCTTGGAAGGAAAGTTATGACCAACCTAGACAGCATATTAAAAAGCAGAGACATTACTTTGCTGACAAAGGTCTGTTTAGTCAATGCTGTGGTTTTTCTAGTAGTCATGTATGGATGTGAGAGTTGGACTGTAAAGAAAGCTGGGCTCTGAAGAACTGATGCTTTTGAACTGTGGTGTTGGAGAAGACTCTTGAGAGTCCCTTGGACTGCAAGGAGATCCAACTAGTCCATCCTAAAGGATTTCAGTCCTGGGTGTTCATTGGAAGGACTGATGTTGAAGCTAAAACTCCAAGACTTTGGCCACCTGATGCGAAGAGCTGACTTATTGGAAAAGACCCTGATGCTGGGAAAGATTGAGGGCAGGAGGAGAAGGGGACGACAGAGGATGAAATGGTTGGATGGCATCACCGACTCTGGGAGTTGGTGATGGACAGGGAGGCCTGGTGTGCTGCCGTTCATGGGGTTGCAAAGAGTCGTACATGACCGAGTGACTGAACTGGAACTGTAAAGGTAGTAAAGCAGATGAATTAAAATTCATGGCTGTTCTAGAAGAGTCTGAAATGAACAACTTAGCAAAATTCCACTAGCTATGAAACCTTGGGCAAATTATCTAATTTCCTTGGTCTAAGTTTCCTCATATTTAAAATAAGGGCATGAATTACATAATTTCCAAGACCCAGTCCACCTTTAATGTTGCACCTTTAGGATTTATTTCACACCCACACACTGAGAGCTATACAACCAAAATAACAGCTGACTCTGCCAACCAGGCATTTGCAGTCTGCTTAATGAAGAGAGTATTTTGACTTATTGATCATACCTGAAATGCTGTAGGAATAGCAGAAATAAACAAACCATGAAGTACATTCAGGCTTAATATGGTTTTATTATTTCTCATTTTCTATACTGGTCAAGACAGGGTCAAAAAGCTTGTATGTAATCCAGTTGAAATTCTAGTTATAGAATAAATACATGTAAATACTCTAATTTTTATCCATTTATGTTTCTTTACCACCGATATTCACCTGCCCCAAATTTCTCCTAAATGTGGAGAAAGTGGTTCTCTCTGGTGTGCAGTAATAGCATCATCAGGTTTGCTTTTACACTTTCGTTTTCCCTTTTTCCCTTATAGCCACCTTTTCTGCCTGATGCCAGAGTGTATCAAAATGAGTATCTGTAGAGACTTTGCTCTTTTATTTCTTCTGATAGCTCAGAACTAGATGTTTTCTTTTAACATATAACATCATTTCATCTTGGGTGGCTTTGAGCTGTTTTCTCATTTATTCTTTGGACTTTTCTTGAAGACAGAGTAGATTTCCTAAAGGTAAGGAGATTAATAACTTCTTTCAAGACTGTGCCCTTGGGCTGGGGTAGGCCACTTGATAAATGACCATGGAATGAAGACAAATATCTCCTGAGAAATGCTAATTAAAAGTTATTTGAAAGAATTTATTTTTAATCAAAATTTTTTTACATTTACTAAATATCATAAATTAGAATATGATATTAAAAGATACATTATAAAATCATGGAATCAAAGTTTCCCAGAGTCATCTTTAATCATAAACCATTAAAAATATACCAAGATCTATAGTTCCCTTTTTGTTACAGTATTAAAGGAAGTGGAGGAATATATTTACTTATGCCAAAAATAAAATTTAAATTATGTGCTAAATTGAGTCTTCTAAATATAAAAATGAGCCATGACACAAAGAAAGATATGTCTTTGCTTTACTTTTTATTTATTTATAGTGTCAGAGTTTATAGTCACTTCTTTTTTCTATGAAAACCTAGCTCAAATAAATCTGAATGTCATCCCTCTCTTAGGAATCTGTACTTTATGATTATATTTACTCAGATTTTGATAATTTTCTAAAGACTTTTTGCTTACTAAGGATCATTCCTTAAGGAATCAAAATTCCAAACCATTCCAAAATTCCTTAAGGCATTTGTTTCCCATATCATTAAGGCTATGTTTTAAGTGAACTCACTTGGACAGCAAGGTGTGACCTTAGTGGCTGATGTTTATTGTTGTTGTGCATTCGCTCAGTCATGTCCGACGCTTTGCAGCCCCATGAACTGAAGCACGCCAGCATTCCCTGTCCTTCACTGTCTCCTGGAATCTGCTAGGACTCATGTCCATTGAGTCAGCCAATGTTTGCAGTTGTCTAATTTGATGAGATTTCCATTGATGCATGTTTATTTATTTGCACGTGTATCTTCACATTTGTTGTTGTTCAGTCTCCCAGGCATGTCTGACTCTCTGCAGCCCCATAGACTGCAGCATGCCAGGCCTCTCTGTCCCTTACCATTTCCCGAAGTTTGCCCAAGTTCATTTCCATTGCATCAGTGATGCCATCCAGCTATCTCATTCTCTGATGCCCTCTTCTCCTTCTGCCCTCAATCTTTCTCAGCATCAGGGACTTTTCAGTGAGTCATGTGTTCACATCAGATGACCAAAATACTGGGTTTCAGCTTCAGTATCAGTCCTTCCAACAAGTATTCAGGCTTTATTTCCCTTAAGATGGACTGGTTTAATCTCCTTCCTGTCCAAGCGACTTTCAGGAGCCTTCTCCAGCACCATAGTGCGAAGGCATCAATTCCTTGGCATTTCACCTTCTTTAAAGTCCTGCGCTCACGGACCACCGTACGGACCACTGGGAAGACCGCAGCCTTGATTGTATGGATCTTTGTCAGCAGAGTAATGTCTCTGCTTTTCAGTACACTGTTTGTCATGCATAGCTTTCCTGCCAAGAAGCAAGTGTCTTCTGATTTCATGGCTGCAGTCACCATCTGTAGTGACTTTAGAGCCCAAGAGGAAATCTGTCACTGCTTCCACCTTTTACCCCTCTATTTTCCATAAGGTAATGGGGCCAGATGCTATGGTCTTAGTTGTTTTTTTTTTTTTTTAATTTAGTTTTAAGCTGGCTCTTTCACTCTCCTCCTTCACCCTCATCAAGAAGCTCTTTAGTTTCTCTTCACCTCCTGCCATTAGAGTGGTATCAGCATCATATCTGAGGTTATTGATGTTTCTCCTGCCTATCTGGAGTCCAGCTTATAACTCATCCAACCCAGAATTTCTCATGATGTGCTCAGCATATAGATTAAACAAACATGGTGACAACAAACAACTCTGTCTTACTCCTTTCTCAATCTTGAACCAATCAGTTGTTCCATACTGGGTTCTGACTGTTGCTTCTTGGCCTGCATACAGGGTTCTCAGGAGACAGGAAAGATGGTCTGGTATCCCCATCTTTTTAGGAGCTTTCCACAGTTTATTATGATCCATGCAGTCAAAGGCTTTGATACATAGTCAATGAAACCGAGATAGATGTTTTTCTGGAATTCCCCAGCTTTCTCCGTGAGCCAGCAAATGTTGACAATTTGATCTCTTATTCCTCTTCTTTTTCTAAATCCAGGTTGGACATCTGGAAGCTCTTGGTTAGCATAATGCTGAAGCTTAGCATGCAGGATTTTGAGCATGACCATGCTAACATGGGAGATGAGGGCAATCATCCGATGGTTATCACATTCTTTAGTAGTACCCTTCTTGGGAATCGGGATGAGGATTGACCTTTTCCAGTCCCGTGGCCACTGCTGGGTCTCCCAGTTTTGCTGAAATATTGAATGTAACACCTTGATGGCATAATCCTTTATGGTTTTGAATACTTCTACTGGAGTTCTGTCACATCCACTAGCTTTATTAACAGCAGTGCTTCCTAAGGCCCACTTGACTTTGTTCTCCAGAATGTCTAGCTCTGGGTGACTGACCACACCATCATAGCAGTCTGGTTCTCTGGATCTTTTTATGCACAGTTTTTCTGTGTATTTCCATCTCTTTTTGACCTCTTCAGCATCTACTAGGTCTCTACCATTTTTGTCCTTTATTGTGCCCATCTTTGGGCAAAATGTTCTCTTGATATCTCCAGTTTTCCTGAAGAGATCTCTAGTCTTTCCCCTTGTGTGGTTTTCTTCTAGATTTATACACTGTTCATTTTAGACACCCCTCTTGTCTTTCCATGCTGTTCTTTGGAAATCTGCATTTAGTTGGATATTCCTTTCCCTTTCTCCCTTGCTTTTCACTTCTTTCTTTTGCTGTTTGTAAGGCCGCCTCAGATAACCACTTTGCCTTCTCGCTTTTCTTTTTCTTTGGGATGGTTTTGTTCACTGCCTCCTGTACAACATTACAGAACTCTGTCCATATTTCTTCAGGCACTTTGTCTACCAGATCTAATCCCTTGAATCTATTCATTACCTCCACTGAATATTCATAGGGAATTTGATTCAAGTTGTACCTGGCTGGCCTCATGGTTTTCCCTGCTTTCTTTAGTTTAAGCTGAATTTTGCTGAGAAGCTGATGATCTGAGCCACAGTCAGCTCCAGGTATTGTTTTTGCTGACTGTATACAGCTTCTCCATCTTTGGCTACAAAGAATG